GCATCAGAAGTCCATACCACATTAGCTTATTATGAATAAAGATAATAAAGCAAATGGATACATGATTGGCTTTACCTCCTTGTTGCCAAGAGTATTCTAGAAAGTTGGAACTGTTCCACAATACTCTTAGCGTCGCCCGAGAGTAGGAGCCGTAGGAGCCGGACCCAGTCCTCTGGCCGCGGCCTCCACGGGCCAGACTCCACCAACTCCTCCCGGGCATGGGATCCAGCGGAGAACCAACGCCAACAGGTTTCCCTGGGAATGCTGGGCGCGAGAGGCATTGACCATGAACCCCCAGAGCCCCCCCCCCGCCCGGAGTCGCTCTTAAGAGAACACACGCCTTGTACAATGACTCGGGCCCCCAGCCAACTTTGGTGGCCACCAGGGGCTCACAAGGGCTGGGGTTGGATCCCGCATCGGGCTCCAGGCAGTACCCACGCTGGGGGGCCCCCTCGACGTCCCCGCGGCGCCCAGGGCTGCGCGCTCAGTTCTTATTCCCTCTGCCATCTGATTTCGCTCTTCTTACCCCCCTCTCGCCACCCCACTCCAGCTCCCCTGCCTCTAGCTCTTCTCTCAAAGAATCCCCTTCTTGTAGCTTCTCTTTTCTACTCCCACCAGCTCTGGAGCCCCCGAGTCCCCCTCTTCCTGACACCCACCTCCCATGGGGCGACCACTTCGCTCGCTGGATGACATCTCCATGTCACCCTGCTTCGCGTGAGTAGGACTGTTCTCCTGGCTCTTAACTTCAGCGCTGGCGCGCAGTAGGCGCTCAGGCACCGCCAAGTAAGTGAATGAAGAAATGAGTAAATACGGCTTAGACACACGCTACTGTCTGAAACACCGCAATCACAAGGCTTGACTAGATCCTGGAATTCTATCCACAAGTACTGCTGTGCCCACTCCTGTGCGGTGCTCCGCAGAAGCGACCCAGAAGGGAGATAGCATTGTCACGGGAGGACTGAGGGTCTGGAATCCGGGCCTGCCTTTGGTGTCTGTGTTACCTAATTCGTGACTCAGGGCAAGTCGGGCATCTCTCTAAACCCCCTTTCCTAATCCTAAAAGAAGGACGATGATAGTAAGACTGATCTCACAGGGCTGTTGTGAAGCTTCGATGAGATAATGTATGCGAAGTTCAAACTCTACACTTGATGGCAGATGTTAAGAGAAAAGAACTCTGGATGGAGAGCCTGTGGCTCTAAGTCCGGGTTGAAACGCCCCAGCGCACAGGGACTGGGTTCGTAGGCGCCTTGTGCGCAACATGCACTCCCGAACCGGCCCCGCGGCCAAAACCAGGCAAATGTATGGAGAGACGCAACTTGTCGGTTTTTAAGTCCTAATTTTAATCTCTGAAGTCCCTTTTAATTTTCATCCGAGAACGGGCTCTCCGCATAAAATAAAACGCTAATTTTCCTCTCCCTTCCAGCCAGGATCCAGAAGCAGTACCGTAGGCCTCTGCCTGCTGCTCTTCTGGGTCGGGGCTGACCAGCCCAGGGCGCCGGGCACGGCGGAGAGCGAGCTGGAAAGTGGATGCTTTGCAGCCAGAGAGCGTCCTGGAACCCGAGGTGGAGCGGTGGGGCTGGCTGGCGCCGGGGCCGAGCAGGGTGGGGTGGGGCAGGTTTGCGGAGAGAATGTGTCCGCGGTCTAGGCGGGCTTCCCTACCCCGGGAGGCCTAGGCCATTTCCCGTGTTGGACCCCTCTGCCAGAAATTCCTTTAGAAAAATCCCAGGCCGGAATGCTCTGGGAACGGCGGGGAGCTAGGGCCGCGCCCGTCCGGGGAAGGGCAGCTCTTTAGGGAACGGGAAGGGTAAGGGGTGGAGAGGAATCGCGGCAGGGGCACTCGCGCTGCAACGGGGGACCCCAGGAAGAATTTGGCTCCGACTTTTTCTAACCCCACCGCCCTCCAGGGCGGAGACAGTGCTCCACCACAGGGTCAGAGGCCCCTAGGGGACAGC